ATGTATTACTCGTTCGTGAACGAGTCGGTTACGTCCGCCCCTAGCGAGAAAGATCAATTGAACTCCGCTTACGAGTATTTGGAAACGAGCAAAGGCTCGTTGGCAAACCTTGCCAACGATCTGATCGGATACGTGAACGTGGAGGATCCTGATTCCCCGTATCCGGATATTCAGATATTGTTCTCTCAAATTCAACGGTTGGACACGGGGTCGATGAAGATGACGATGGCTTCTTACAATACGAACGATGAGATCACGCGGATAATGCTGGACGAGATCAAGAGAAGGGATTTGATCACTATTTACAGCTCGTTGATGAATCCAAAGAGTCGGGGCGAGATCAAATTGAGGAACGCCGATCCGGCTGAAGAAGTGAAGATCTATTCGAATTATTACACCGTGGCCGATGATTGGAAAAAGATGATAAAAGTTTTGCCCATCGTCAAGAGTTTGTTGAACACTACAGCGTTGAAGAAATACGGGATGGAGTTTAATATTTACGATGTCCCCGAATGTCGCCATTTTACGCCCGATACAGAGGAGCGTTACGAATGCGTGATCAGACACGTGTCCGCCTCGAATTATCACGCGTGTTGCTCGTGCAGAATGGGACCAGCCAGTGATCCGAGGACGGTTGTCGATCACAGGTTAAACGTGCACAAGGTGAAGAATTTACGGGTGATCGACGCATCGATCATGCCGAATATCATCAGTGGGAATATCCATGCGCCTACCATAATGATAGCCGAGAAGGGAGCGGATTTGATCAAAGAGGATTGGGGCATAAAGGTGTGAAACAGTTGGAAATATATGAATGTACGTATTTGAAGAATTCTGTTACGTAATATATTGTAAATCATTTTCAATTATTCTGAGATAATTCTTTCTCCTTAAAACATTGTTACTTATTTTCTTATATTAATTCTTCTTGTAACATTAATTGCAGATGTTGCAGATGTTATATAAAATTTACGTAATTATATAAATTTTACGCAATTCTATATAAACGGAAACAAAACAAAACGGAAAGTGTAAAGTCTGGAAATACAGCTGACTATACAAAAGATAAAAATTTTGTTTTGAAAATGTCTGGATGCCAGCTACAATAATATGCGATATAAAAAAATAGAGATTTTAATTTGAAAAATCTTTATATAATCAAGATCAAATAAAGATAACAGAATGAGTCAATATCTTTTTCGATATCTGTTTCAACTAACACAAATTCCGCAAAATATGATGGCGCTAATCAGAGTGACCACTGTCCATTTGAAATTAATGATGTTGAATCACTTGACACCGTTATGATAGATTGCTAGTTCATACTTCAAAGCTGGCCACATCTGGTACGCAGAATCCATTGAGCAATCGTATCTGAATAGTAGTTTATTAATATGCACAACTCGGAGTGGCTCAATGGAGTGGTTCAAAAATAACATTATGCGATAAAATAACAAATTCCACAATTTTACACGAAAAGCTTCGAAAGCATAAAATGTGATAAATTAAAATTCTAAATTATAAATTAAAATAATGAAGATAAAATATAGAAATGTAGAAATTTTAGATATACATCTCGATGGTCCAATGAAAACTACTTTAAAAAGCAATCGATCACGAATTCCTCATTCGTTTTATCAGACATCATTGTCTTTTCAACTTTTTAGTTAGCAAGCTTCCGACGTAGTGGAAAAACAATCTGGAAGAAAACGTCTTTCAGAAATCGCATGGACGATTCCCGCATAAATTAAGCGGATTGGAACGAAGTGCGAGCATCGCTATCCACGGCCTTATCCTCGCCTCTTAAACGATCATAATGAACGATGAGAAACATGAAAGAATGCTTGTTTGCACTCCAAATTACCCTATTTGTAATGAAAGTTATAAAAAGTGAGCGTTACGAAAAGAAAAGAAAAAAAGAAGGGAGAACCTTCTCTTACGCGTGTCTTTTCCTTTTTCCATCACTCAATTCATTTCCTAGCATATAATAATAATAAATACCTCTCACGTGTTCCCATACGTGGTCATCCCATACGGAATGTATGTTCTGGGACTCCTACAAAATTATAAATGGTGTGCACTTTGGACGATTATGCTTCTTTATAATTCCCTCAGAGGCAAAACACGGTGTAAAAACCAGGGAATTTTCCTGAGAACAGTCATGCGAACGATGTGTTTCTCGCACGTGAAACAGTGCATCGGTATTGTAAAATTAAACGAGGGAAAAATTATTTTGAATAGAGAGAGAATTTTGGATTTTAAAAAAAAGGAATGAAGCTACAATCAAATATCGATAATCCTTTGTTTTTACTATTCCTTTTTCTTTAAAAACGCAAAATTTTTCTATTTAAACTTCCGTTTCTTGAGATATTATCATGTCATCATCATCAAGAAAAAAATAATTTTCAATTATGCATCTTAAAACTGATCAAATCCTATTAAAATTAGAAAAACTTTGATCCGCTATAACTCCGAAGATAATGATGCCTAGTCAATGGATGAAAGATCATTAGAGGCGTGGAATCTTACCCTTTAAAACGCTTTTTTGTTTATCCCGATACGACTTCCGGTTTCCGAGATATCATCTTTTAAAGAAAAGGTAATTTTTAAT